CAGAAGGTATGGTATCAGAAAACAGTAAGAACAAAACGGAACAATTAATATATATATATATATAAACATAACAGACTAGGAAAAGACCTTTTTAAGCGCTAATCTTTGCAATTTGGGAAGTTCCTCAAGCAAGCGAGCCTTGGTTCTACGTATCTCAGCATTAATGGCGCCAACTGTTGCCCTGTTTTTCTCTGTTGCCACTGCGTCCGATCTCTACACACAGAAAGAAACACAGTTGCATATTATATATAGAGAGAGAAAAGAACTCTAGCTCTAGAGCATATGAGTCTGGAGAGAGAGAGGAGGGGGTACCTGGAGGGCTTAATTGAGGTCGGTCTCGACGGCGGCAAAAAGACGGGAAAAAGCATCGTCGCCGGAGATGTTGAGGTCGTTGTGTTTATCGATGTCGTACTTGTTGCATATTGCGTCAACTGTAGTTACAAAACGGGTCAGTTAAAGGGGTATAATCATGTTTTATATTTTTTAATGGAATGAAGGCGTGGCAAATTCTTATTGGGCCAAGTCAGCTTGGAGGACAATTCTTGTCCTGATAAGGCAGGACCCAAGTATTACTCCTTAACAATTGCATGTGAAGGAGTCACTCTTGTATTGACTCACTGTAAATGGACCAGGTTGTCAATGAATAGTTACTCAAATTTTTAATAATATTCAGAATTCATAACTTGGCCCAGCACACTTGATGAATTGTTGTTGAGTCGATAAAACTCTACTATATGACTTGTTTCATTAAGATTTGCTAAGATTTATAATTAATTTTTATTCTTAAAGTACGTTTTGTTTTAAGTTTGATTATAAAAAGGGTGAAGTGCAAAAAAACATCTCTATAGTATGTATATAATGCATATTGCACTCTTCCCGTGCAAAAAACACCCCTAAACTATGATATTTGTGCAAATAGGTCCTCTGTATAAAAAAAAAAAAAAATGAACTAAATTGCCCTTAAAAACACATTTAATAAAGTATATAAAAAATTAATATTTTGTGAAATTACTAAAAAGGGTAGCTAAAAAAACCATATTCCCTCCTTTTTCTTCTTCTTCCCCGGCCACAAGCTCTCTGCTGTGACCTCTCCGGCAGCCTCTTCTCGGCCGTCCACAACCTCCACCTCTCCCTCTGCGATCAACAAGATCGCATTTAAACCACGGTTCGGAGCTGTGTTGTCACTCAAGTTTGGAGCTTTGAGACCCAGTTTGTCACCGGAGCTGCTAACTGGGCACATCGGGCGAGAGTTTGTTTGGACGTCTTCGACCCACCTCTGCGAAACCAGAATCCATCTTTCTAAAGCTTTGAACATAAGCTTCCATTCTTTCCGGTGAAGCTCCAAGTACCGAAACCCATGCTATTTGAACTCTTACTTAGCTCTCTGTCCAACTGAATCTATCAATGGAATTGCAAACCACTCATTTTCCATAAATTGAAAACTAGTATTGATTTTCTCTTTAACCACTATTTTGTACAGTATTTAAAATGAGCTGATTTTTATTGGGCATAAAGAAAGAAAATAGAAAATGCTCACAAACATAGTAATTTGTAGTATATAATGAATCCCAATATACAGTGATGTGGAAGTGACATGTTTGAAACTTGAAAGCATACCTCTCAGAGAAAAAAAGGAAGAAGAAAAAAAAGAAAAAAGAAAAGAGGTTTATAGATTGAGGTTTCTCTATCTTCTCTGAAGTTTTCTAGGTTGGCTTTCAATGTGAGTAATACCGAAACCCAGTTGCGAGCTCCTAGTGTCGGCAAAACCAAACTCAGTTCATGGTTAAGGCTTTTAAGCCTTTCCGACCAGTTCATGTCCGCGAAACCAGGTGTGTGTGAAATCTTTAAACAGCCCGGCAAAAGCACCATAGTTTCGCGGCCAATTAATTTTACAGAGATCCACCTCCTGACTCCCCCTTCTCTCTCTCTACACCTCTTTCTCTCACTAGAACCCCTCTTTCCTTTCTATAACCAGATTCATTACACATACCCGTATGGCGCCAAATTAGTAATATACTTCAAAGAGGAGAGAGAGAGAGAGATGGGGAAGGTTATGTTTAGCTCCTAGGTATTAGAGAGTATAAATTTTCTCATATATAAATATATACCACACAAACACACACACACACACACATACATGTTTTGTAATGCAATAGCTTAGCAGAGGAGAGAGAGAGAGAGATGGGGAAGGTTATGTGTTTTTGGGGTCTAATTGTTACTGGGTTTGTGTTAATTAGCAAATGGGTTGATGGGTTTGAGCATGAGTATTTGAATATAACAGAGCAACCATTTTTGGAGTCCTTTTATGGAGTCTCTGCTTTGAACAACAACCCTCTCATGGTGGGTTTTACCCTTATTCTAGGAGATGCGCTGATACTCTCTCTCTCTCTTCATACATTGTTGCTTGATCTACAAGTGCAATGTATTGATTCAATCTGTTGTGTTATTTTGTCTAAAAATAATTAATTTAATTATCTGATTCATTTAATTTTGTTCTACTGCATGCTATTTCTAATTTAAGGCTTTTAAGCCTTACTAACCATTAGTGGTTTGAGAGACTTAGATGTCTTTCCACTGCGCGCGCACACAGAGAAGAAGAAGAAAGAAGAAGTAAGGTTTAGTAGGGGCATTTTTGGAAGAGTAAAAGGATAAAATGGGTATTATATTAATTAAGGGGGTGTTTTTGCACAAATTGAAAAGAATATGGGTGTTTTTTGCACACCTTTTAAATAAGGGATAAAAGTGTTACGAAAGGTATACTTCAATGTGTTTCTTGCACCTACCCCTTATAAAAATCGACAAACGAACTTGACAAGTAGAATTCAAACTTTAATAGATAGTGTGTTGAGTCGTATATCTAACTGGGTTTTAAGTTATAGACGTCTATAAATTAATCGAATTTGAGCTAGATTAGGCACGGTTTGATCTAAATCTAATAAGTAATATATCTTATTTTATACGATCTAATAACTCGCTGAATTATGTATGAATTAATATATATTCAATTTGTAATTAATCAATTATTTAATTCAATTTTTTGGAGGATGTAATTTTTTGTTAAAAATAAAACTTAATGCCAAAAGAAATTAGCAGACTATGATTAGGGTGGAGAAAAAGAGAGGGAGAAGCGGGAGAAGGAAAATTAATGTATGAAAAATAAGAAAAGATTAGGTATTTGACTTATAATTAAAATTACACAACTACATTCATATTTTATTGGACCGACTATAACCCATTTTTGATTTGTTTAGCTAATGAATTATATTTTAATTTATAATAAATTATCAAATTGAATGTTTCAATTCATATTCGAGTTATCAAATGGTATTTGATCAAAATCCGTTTCATTAATATATAAGTCTAATTCAAGGTTGAGTTCGAATTTGTGAACGATTAATCTAGCTAACGAGGGCAACAGAAAGACCATGAGTAGACCTAAAAAAAAAAAATCCAATTTTGATCCAAATTCTATTCAATAACTCAAATATGAATTAAAATTTTCAATTTGATTACCCGTACGTAACAATATGAATCCGGTAATTCATTAGCTAAATGAGCTGGATATATGAATTATAGTTGATCAGGATAATAATCCATTCCAGATAGTGTAATTTACCTATTATTTAATTGATTCAAATATATATCACATTCCCAAGCATCTATTCTTTCACTGTCCCTTTAGAGTTATAAAGCATGTTGTCTTACTTTCAACAACTTATTGGTTCTAACATTTGTCCAATCTCATGGAGTGGCTACAAATTTTTATTTATTTTTTTATTTTTTTATAATTAATACTCACACACACACACACACACGTGCCTCTACCAAAATTCGAACCTTTTACCTCCTTTTAATAAATAAAAGTCTAGTACCATTAGGCCACTGACCCGTGGCCTAACCCGTTAGTAGACAGTGCTAGTGTTAATTAGACAATCCTCTATATATATATATATATGGATCAGTAAAATGCCATTATGGGTGATTAAAATTAACTTGCTTCATCTGATATAAATTAATAAATCAATTTTAAAAACAGGCATTATTTTCTTATATATTAATGAATCGGATTATGTTTTACAATCCAAGCATTGCAATGGAGAATACCAGTTATATGATCAGCCGAAACCCAATACACCCATTTCTTGCCCTTCTTCTTCATCTGCTTAGCATGGAAAAGACTGTTAGTTCCTCCACTGATAAACCCTCCTGTAAGCGGAAATAAGTATAACTAGAACAAGTTCAGACACTACTTTTTATGTGAGGTAAGCTCATGTTCTACAGTCTCATATGTGGCTCTTATATATTTCAATCTGCTCCTCACCACATAACACCATGGAATTTCCTTCGGATTATCAATTTTTATTCCTTTTCCATCCATTTCTCAGACACCAAACAGAGGATGAAGAAAAATAAAAATGATTAATTAATAACTTACCTACAGATTATTATGCTTGATATGGAAATCAGAAGCAGAATAGAATTTCTAATGAGTTTCTTTAGAAAAATAAACAAATAATATCAATAATTCACAGGAAGATAAATGAAAATAGATAGAGTTCATACCTGGTTTTCAAAGAGGGTGAAGACGATCGAAAATGGCGTATTTCAAGCTTTCATCTAGGGTTTTACAGTGTCGGCGGAGAGTATTCAAAGCGGTCATTTATGGGCTAGGGTTTCAGAGTTTGCAGAGTGAAGAGAGAGTGTAGAGAGAGAGAGAGAGAGAGAGTCGTCTTTCACAGAGGGAGAACAAGGGCGATAAGGGGTACCTTCCAATTCCAAATAGACCTATGAGTGTGTGAAGAGAGAGAGAGAGTTGATACGTTTTGGATCATCATGACCATCGGGCTTTCAATCAGAAAGTAACTTACCGAAAATAGTTCGGAAACTCGTTTTGTTAGAAACTTTGTAAAACATTTCACTTGTAAAACATTTTCCTTGCATTTAACTATTTAAGGAAACCAAACACTGGAAAACACAAAAAAATATTTTACACCCAAACAAACAGGGCCACAATTAAAAGTTATTTTTAACTGCTAAGTGTTACAACAGAAATGCTAAATGTATTTGCTAGTGTAAGTATTGAGAACACATACAAGAAAAACAAATAAAATTCCAAAGCAAATTAGGCATTCCCCAAGAATATGAAGCTCGAGACGCACACTTCTTTTTCAGCCTCGCAATCTCTTCCTTGATTGTTCCAGTTCTCTGCACATTCAGATGAACGTATTTCTCTGTCTCATTCACTCTGAAGTAAACTCATTAGAGCAGCCTAGCAAGAAAACCCAGCAAACCATTCTGTTATAGCATTATTCTTGCGTCAGTGTTCATAGCTATATTACCTATCATCAGCACTAGTTTTACATAAATTAAAATGTTGTAGCTATTAGGGACTTGACCACAAGTGAGCATTTTCCAAGTTCTAAATGAATTAAATAACAACAATATCTGAGCACATAACATGCCTACAAGTGTCCAAACTAATTTCTACACAAGCAATAATACTTTTACTAATGAAGAAAAAGGCCCATTTAGCTCACTGTGCAATAGCATAAGAATATTGAGGCATCTCCAACATATATAATGAAGAAAAAAAAGAGTTATTGTACTATATTTAATATGGTTAAACATTTTTTTTTTCAATATAATTAACCCTTAAACATTTTTTTTTCCCTAGTTGGTACTCACACACACATGTCTCCACTGAGATTCAAACCCCTAACCTCTCTTTGAGAAGTAGGGACTTGGTACCGCTAGGCCACTGACCTGTTGGTAACCCTTAAACATATTGATATAAAATCATATATCATATAATGTTGGGCCTATTAATATATGTTTATAACCGTCTGCAGCAAAATGCTCATGGACGCATAAATTCTTCCCATCATAGGGTTTGTTAAATAATTAAACTAACGAGTTATAAAATTATAGAACCAAAAGGTTTGATGTAGCAAACATTCCTAACACAATTTCAGATAGCGCAGCAATTTTGACACCAAATTTGACCGGATGAGATATATTTATTTTTAAAAAAAAAAACGTTCTCTTAGCCTATGCTGGAGTTTTCTCCTATGCTGGGGAGTGGTCGAGTATTTTGACTCTTCTGGTGGATTTGGCTATGGCTGAAATAGATGAAGATCTTATTTTCAAAGTACGAAATTTTAAGTTTTCTGTGGAGGAGGAGGAATCGGTGGAGATATCCGGTGAAGATACAAAGGAAGGAATCGCAGTAGGGCGAGAAGTTTGGTTGGGAAACGCTTTGGTGATAAAGTGGGGAATAGTTTTGTATTGAGGAAAGTGTTGGGTTCATTATGGTGGGAACGAAGGAAGCGAATACGGGGAGTGGTTACATTTTGAAGGGGTTCCCGGAAAACTTGTTCAGAAGTCACTCTCTTCTTCATCGGCAGTCGGAGTATCATCGGATGGGGAAAGGTCAAACAGTGAAGATTGTACGTTAAGCTCTCTTGTGCCAATAATTTGTGTCTGCTGTAGGGAGTAGCTTACCTGATGTAATGATGGAGGAGGCCAGTCCTAACTGGCCTCACCTTTATCAATGAAGATTCTCTCCTGGAATTGTCAGAGTGCGAGGAACCCCTGACAGTTCAACAGCTCAAGAAGCTAGTTCGGTTTCATTCCCCGCACGCCATCCTTCTCCAAGAAACAAAGAATGACGTTGCTGTGCTGAATCGACTTAGGCGATAACTTGGATATTCAAATTCCTGTTATCAAAATCCAATTGACCTGGCAGGTGGTGGCTGTATTATGGGGAGATGATGTGGAAATTTAATATTGTGGATGTATCAGAATTTCAAATTTCGTTGGAGATTAAAGACCCTCTTAAACAGTTCACATGGTTGTTCAAGGGATTCATGCCTTGACTAGAGATGCTACTAGACAGTTGCAATGGAGGTACTTGAGTTCTGCTTTTCACCGAAGAGGATATCCACGGCTGATGGTGGGCGATTTCAACAATCTCAGATCTGCAGATGAGAAAAAGGGTGGTAGAGTTCAGGCTCAGTGGACACTCGGGGGGGCATTTACTAATTTCATAGCTTCCTGTAATTTGATGGAGCTGGGCTTCAAGGGATTCCCGTTCACTTGTAACAATCACAGAGCTGATCCCAATAATATTATGGAAAGGCTTGATCGAGCCTTGGGAAATAAAAGATGGTTGGATGGTTATCCAACAGCTATCCTTCATCATATACAGGAACTGGGCTCAGATCATATGTTTTTGATAGTTGATACCGAGGGTATTGAAAAAAGGTGAAGAGATCTTTCATGTTTGATGCTAGATAGATGAATCACGCGGAGTTCAAGGAAGTCATCAAGGAAGCATGGAATCATTTTGTTTCAACTGAAAAGCAAAATCAAGAAGGGTAAGGAAGTTCGAAAACAGTGATCCAGAGGCAGAAATTTTAATTCAAGAATGGCTCAATTAATCACTTGATCTATGGAGATATTCCCTTAACGAATACCATTCAACTTACTACTAATCTATACACAGTCAAAAACTCAAGAAACTGCCATGTGGTACTTTTGTCACGTCAATTCAAAGAACCACAGAAGCTACTAGGGTAAACTCCCAGCAGATCAAACACCAAATGTGTGGTCTTATCAAGTTGGAGAGCTTGATATATTCTACATATACAGGATACTTTAAATCACATTTCTATGTTAAAGGTAAAATAGGACTTAGAGACCATTTACGACCTAGATTTGATATTTAGAAAAGCTCAATCTATGTTTTATACATGTTTTTAAAAATTAAGGTTTTTATCTTAAGCTTGTCAAAGATTTCAAATGAGATCATTGAATTTGAGATTTTAACAAAAAAACAAAAAACAAAACAAAACAAAATATAGCTCAATTAATCACTTGATCTATCGAGATATTCCCTTAAAAATTTATATTTATGTCAAGAATAGCTTGATCAAAAGCTTAATCAATCATTGGATAGTACGTGTGGATTGAAATCACAATCGACTAAAAAATGGCCAGAGTCACTCGATCAACCTGTGCATAATCATATTTTAAGAAACACTTTCAAACTATATATATCTAAAGCGACTACTTTATATTCTACAGGGACTCCTATATATTGACTATAGGTAGGGGGTTATGGTCAATATAAGGATCATATATTGAGTCCTCTCTATAATCTAGTGAGACAAGTTGTATCTTTAGTGAGAGAGTTTTGAGATTCAATCTAGAGTTTCCTATAGAAATGTTCGGTATATGGATTATGGATTCAAAGAAAGGAGCATATAAGTGACAACAAATAAAGTGAAATTCAACCAAGTACTTTCAAGAACAGTAGTTTGAACAAACCAACTGTTTGAGAAAAATGATAAAAGTTATTACCTCACGAATCACTTTATAATGATGCCAGAATTTAAATTCACGTACTTACCGAATAAATTTTTAGAATTCAAGTTCTTGTATCTAAACTTAAAATTACAGCATAAAAAAATTCTTTAGAAGCATGTCCCTCAAATACTACTTAAGCACAATCATGAACCAATCTACAAGAATCCTTTTTATTTTTATGTAAAATAAAGTATCTGAAAGTAAAAGACTAGACATAAATAATTGTAAAACAAATAACAAAAGGCAACCTTTGCCAAAACTCCTTATATGTTGAAATAAGGAACCTTCTTTGTCCATTCATATGATATTGGTAACTAAAAAGATGAGTTTGCAAACTTCATTGCCTCATCCTGCCTTGGGAATGTAGCCGTTACTTCCTTTCTAGGAAGAAATAAATCATATTTAATCGACTAGAGAATGGAAGCATAAAAACGAATAATTGAAGTTTCAGCCCAAATATAAAAAAGCGTGTAAAACAACCAAACAAAATCACATATTACCTTAAATTATTTTGTTAAGTGAGATCAATGCGTATTTTGTGTAAAAATCGCAACAAACGAGATGGTCTTTTTGGAGGGACACTATGTGGAGAACCATAAATACAACTGGAGCAATCTTCTTCCACTGTTGTCAAATCAAACTGAAGGAAAAATGGTAAGCACAACTAAGATCTGCGGCAATCTATAATAGAGACAAAATAACTAACAGAACGCACAGAAAGAAATAATAAGCAGAAAAAAAAAAAAAAATGTATTATATTTTCTGCATGAAGTGCTGCACATCTGCTGCTGCATTTTGCTGGTTTTTCCTGCTGATCTTGAAGCTGCACTGTCAGAATTCAAACGAACTTTTTGAGCTGAATTTGCATACTTTAACTTCTTTGTGTTTTCTTTTCTTTCTCGCGTGGCAGATTTTGAAATAGAAGACAATAATTTTTTATTATGAAATCAAACAAACAACGTGCAGGGCAACGTCTACATAAAAACATAAAATGAGCAACTAACTTATTTCATCATGTTGTGGAAAAGTATAGCGGAAAAGCATATTTTCATTTCAATCCTTGCACAAACTTCACCATAAAGTTCTGTTTTGGAAAAGGGAAAAAAAATAATAATAATAAAATAAAACCACTATTACACGGCAATGACGATCGGAAGGAACTGAAATTTAAACACAAAACATAAAGTTGTAACTCATTTAGCTGGGTAAGATCGCCTCAAAAATGTCTAGTCGTAATAAACATTTTCTTTTAGTTAGTAGTCACTCCTGACAACATACATAATCCTAGTCAAGCAGAACTTGTGAAAGTGAATCTCATTCAGGAGCTTCTTGTAGATGCTCACCTCATTTGCCACTTTAAATTTTCATCCACAGATTGTTAAAAGCATAGAGAAAACTAAACGTAGGAACTAGTAAAACATAATACCCACAAACCAAATGTAAAAACTGGGATAAGCATATAAACCAGAAATAAAGTTTGACAAGAAACAACAAATAGAACAATTAAATTCAGTTAGGAGCAAATCAGTGAGTTCACATATTTGGCAGCTAAATCTAATACTTGGAAGCCCTGTGTGTGAGTACCAAACTAGGGGAAAAAAATACTTGGAAGCCCAAAATTTGGAACATCTGCCACCATTTCGGTCCAGTTGACCTTGCATTTTAAAGTATCATCTACATTGGACATATGTGTATGTATTCAAAATTTGTGTATGTGGAGACGTTTGTATTTATGTGTATGTATTAAATCCATGTTTCAAGTATCATCTACATTGGACATAATCATCCATAAATATCAGGGAAGAAGATGAAACGACATCAACAATATACATGAATAAGCCCCTTAATCAGTAATGGGGAAATGCAATTTTTAGAAATATAGTACAAATCAAAACCCTAATCTAAATTTGTAAGAGTACAGACCTGAGTGGAGCAAAAGATTAAGAACTATGCATATTAGGTATATAAAATGTATGAATCTGTGTGTGTGTGTGTGTGTGCGCGAGAGAGAGAGTACTCCGAGGAGAGAGACCACATTTGAAGCACCCAAACTAATGACCAACATAAATTGTTTGCATCTCCAACAATTTATGTTATTCATGAATGTCATATAGTTTTGTGGTTAATGACAGTTTTATCTTATCTAATTTCCTTGCAATCATACTTGTTAAGGATCAAATTGTCAGAGAATCAATACCTCAATAGCATGCACTCCAAAAAAATTCATACCAAACATCTTTTCAAGAGCGAAATCAAATTGAAAACAAGATATCTAAATATGAACTAAAGGCAGGAGCTTAAACAACTAAAGTTTACCGATTAATTGTATAAAAACAATGCATAACTCTCCAAAACTCAAATTAGAGCTCCAAGGTAAAAGTGCAGGTCAGATTGAGAGTGAAATTCTTCTGATTGAGGGATTGAGGTCAGACTGAAAGAGTTACTGTACCATATTTAATACGCTCAAACTTTTTTTTTCTCAATATAATCAACCCTTAAACATATTGATATAAAATCATATGCCATATAATGTTGGGCCTATTAATATATGTTTATAACCGTCTGCAGCAAAATGTTCATAGATGCATAAATTCTTCCCATCATAGGGTTTGTTAAATAATTAAACTAACAAGCTATAAAATTCTAGAACCAAAAGGTTTGATCTAGCAAACATTCGTAACACAATTTCAGATAGCGCAGCAATTTTGACACAAATTTTGACTGGATGAGATATATTTATTCAAAAAAAAAAAAACATTCTCTTAGCCTGTGCTAGAGTTTTCTCCTATGCTGGGGAGTGGTAGAGTATTTTGACTGTTCTGGTGGTTTTGGCTATGGCTGAAATAGATGAAGATCTTCTTTTCAAAGTAATTTTAAGCTTTCTGTGGAGGAGGAGAAATCGGCAGAGATATCCAGCGAAGATACAAAGGAAGGAATCGCAGTAGGGGCGAGAAGTTTGGTTGGGAAATGCTTTGGGTGATAAAGTGGGGAATAGTTTTGTATTGAGGAAAGGGTTGGGTTTATTATGGGGATGTGACAAGGATTTACAAGTTTTTCAAGTGAACCCTCATTTGTTTCATTTTGTTTTGCTGCAAGAATCAAATGTTAATAGACTCCAGAATGGATATCCATGGTGTTATTGATAATCAACTCTTGGCGTTACAGAAGTGGAGGCCAGGGATGCAGTTCCATGAATTTGTGTTCTCTTCCACAATGTTTTGGGTGCAGGTGTTCAATAATTCCATTTGAATGTGCTACCGTGGAGGTGGGGAAGAAAGTGGCTGCTACTTTTGGAAAGGCGGAAAGTGTGGAGGTGTGTGATTCAGGTATTAATGGAGGTCGATTTATTAGAATGAGAGTCCCTGTCAAATTAGATATTCCCATTGGCAGAGGAATCACACTGAAGTATGCTGAAAAGGATAAATGGGTGTTGTTTCGGTATGAAGACTCTCCTGTGTATGCTTTACCTGTGGTTGATTTAGCCACATTTCGAAGAAATGTTCACTGATTGGAGGTGGTGGGAACGAAGGAAGCAAATACGGGGAGTGGTTACATTTTGAAGGGGTTCCCGGAAAACTTGTTCAGAAGTCACTCTCTTCTTCGTCGGCAGCCGGAGTATCATCGGATGGGAAAAGGTCAAACAGTGAAGATTGTACGTTAAGCTCTCTTGTGCCAATAATTTGTGTCTGCTGTAGGGAGTAGCTTACCTGATGTAATGATGGAGGAGGCCAGTCCTAACTGGCCCCACCTTTATCAATGAAGATTCTCTCCTGGAATTGTCAGAGTGCGAGGAACCCCTGACAGTTCAACAGCTCAAGAAGCTAGTTTGGTTTCATTCCCCGCACGACATCTTTCTCCAAGAAACAGAGAATGACGTTGCTGTGCTGAATCGACTTAGGCGATAACTTGGATATTCAAATTCCTGTTATCAAAATCCAATTGACTTGGCAGGTGGTGGCTGTATTATGGGGAGATGATGTGGAAATTTGATATCGTGGATGTATCAGAATTTCAAATTTCGTTGGAGATTAAAGACCCTCTTAAACAGTTCACGTGGTTGTTCAATGGATTCGTGCCTCGACCAGAGATGCTACAAGACAGGTGCAACGGAGGTACTGAAGTTCTTCTTTTCACCGAAGAGGAGATCCATGGCTGATGGTGGGCAATTTCAACGATCTCAGATCTGCAGATGAGAAAAGGGTGGTAGAGTTCAGGCTCAGTGGACACTCAGGGCATTTAATAATTTCATAGTTTCCTGTGATTTGATGGAGCTGGGCTTCCAGGGATTCCCGTTCACTTGGAACAATCACAGAGCTGATCCCAATAATATTATGGAAAGGCTTGATCGAGCCTTGGGAAATAAAAGATGGTTATCCAAAAGCTATCCTACATCATATACAGGTACTCGGCTCAGATCATATGGTTTTGATAGCTGATACTGAGGGTATTGAAAAAAGGTGAAGAGATCTTTCATGTCTGATGCTAGATAGATGAATCACGCGGAGTTTAAGGAAGTCATCAAGGAAGCATGGAATCATTTTGTTTCAACTAAAAAACAAAATTAAGGGTAAGGAAGTTCGAAAACAGTGATCCAGAGGCAGAAATTTTAATTCAAAAATGGCAATGGAGTCTGTAGAAAAGGAACTGAAGTTGGTGAAAGAACCACAGAAGCTTCCTTAACGAATACCATTCAACTTACTACTAATCTATACACAGTCAAAAACTCAAGAAACTGCCATGTGGTACTTTTGTCACGTCAATTCAAAGAACCACAGAAGCTACTAGGGTAAACTCCCACAGATCAGACTCCAAATGTGCGGTCTTTTCGGGTTTTGAAGGAAACACTTGACAGCACAACGGTTGGAGATCTTGATATATTCTACATAAACGGGATACTTTAATCATCAAGCATTGTTCAGGTGTTCCCAAAATATTATTCATGATGCTGACACAGAAAAATCTAAATTAAAGGTAAAATAGGACTTAGAGACCAATTACGACCTAGGTTTGATATTTAGAAAAGCTCAATTATGTTTTATACATGTTTTTAGAAATTAAGGTTTTTATCTTACGCTTGTTGAAGATTTCAAATGAGGTCTTTGAATTTGAGATTTTAACAAAAAAACAAAAAAAAAAAAAAAAAAAAACACAAAACACAAAACATAGCTCAATTAATCACTTGATCTATCGAGATATTCCCTTAAAATTTTATATTTATGTCCAGAATAGCGATCAAAAGCTTAATCAATCATTGGATAGTACGTGTGGATTGAAATCACAACCGACTAAAAAATGGCCAGAGTCACTCGATTAACCTGTGCATAATCATATTTTAGGAAACGCTTTCAAAATATATATATCTAAAGTGACTACTTTTTATTCTACAAGGGACTCCTATATTGACTATAGATTGGGGGTTATAGTCAATCTAAGGATCATATATTGAGTCATCTCTATAATCTAGTGAGAGAAGTTGTATCTTTAGTGAGAGAGAGAGTTTTAAGATTCAATCTAGAGTTTCCTATAGAAATGTTCGGTATATGGATCATGGATTCAAAGAAAGGAGCATATAAGTGACAACAAATAAAGTGCAATTCAACCAAGTACTTTCAAGAACAACGGTTTGAACAAACAAACTGTTTGAGAAAAATGATAAAAGTTATTACCTCACGAATCACTTTATAATGGTGCCGGAATTTAAATTCACGTACTTACCGAATAAATTTTTAGAATTCATGTTCTTGTATCTAAACTTAAAATTACAGCATAAAAAAATTCTTTATAAGCATGTCCCTCAAATACTACTTAAGCACAATCATGAACCAATCTACAAGAATCCTTTTTATTTTTATGTAAAATAAAGTATCTGAAAGTAAAAGACTAGACATAAATAATTGTAAAACAAATAACAAAAGGCAACCTTTGCCAAAACTCTTTATATGTTGAAATAAGGAACCTTCTTTGTACACTCACATGATCTTGGTAACTAAAAAGATGAGTTTGCAAATTTCATTGCCTCATCTTGCCTTGGGAATGTAGCCATTACTTCCTTTCTAGGAAGAAATAAATCATATTTAATCGACTAGAGAATGGAAGCATAAAAACAAATGATTGAAGTTTCAGCCCAAATATAAAAAAGCGTGTAAAACAACCAAACAAAATCACATATTACCTTAAATTATTTTGTTAAGTGAGATCAATGCGTATTTCGTGTAAAAATCGCAACAAACAAGATGGTCTTTTTGAAGGGACACCATGTGGAGAACCATAAGTACAGCTGGAGAAATCTTCTTCCACTGTTGTCAAATCAAACTGAAGGAAAAATGGTAAGCACAACAAAGATCTGCGGTAATCTAGTAATAGAGACAAAAAACTGACAGAACGCACAGAAAGAAATATATGTGTGTGTGTGTGTGTGTGTGTGTTATATACTGCACGAAGTGCTGCACATCTGCTGCATTTTGCTGGTTTTTTCCTGCTGATCTTGAAGCTGCACTGTCAGAATTCAAAGGAACTTTTTGACTTGAATTTGCTTACTTTAACTTCTTTTTCTTTCTTGCATAGCAGATTTTGAAATATAAGACAATAATTTTTTATTATGAAATCAAACAAACAACGTGCAAGGCAACATCTACATAAAAACATAAAATGAGCAACTAACTTATTTCATCATGTTGTGGAAAAGTATAGCAGAAAAGCATATTTTCATTTCAATCCTTGCACAAACTTCACCAAAAAATTCTGTTTTGGAAAAGGAAAAAAAAAAAAAAAAAAAATCACTATTTTGCGGCAATGACGATCTGAAGGAACTGAAATTTTAACACAAGACATAAAGTTGTAACTCATTTAGCTGGGTAAGATTGCCTCAAAAATGTCTAGTCGTAATAAACGTTTTCTTTTAGTTGGTAGTCAGTAATGACAACATACATAATCCTAGTCAAGCAGAACTAGTGAAAGTGAATGCCTTCTTGTAGATGCTCACCGCATTTGCCACATTAAATATCATCCAGAGATTTTAAAAGCATAGAGAAAACTAAACATAGCAACTAGTAAAACATAATAGCCACAAACCAAATGTAAAAATTGGGATAAGTGTATAAACCAGTAACAAAGTTTGACAAGAAAAAACAAATAGAGCAATTAAATTCAGTTAGGAGCAAATCAGTGAGTTCACATATTTGGCAGCTAAATCTAATACTTGGAAGCCCTGTGTGAGTACCAACTAGGGAAAAAGAATTACTTGGAAGCCCTAAATTTGGAAAATGCATCTGCCACCATTCAACTTCATAGTTCCATCTCAAAGATAAAATTCTAGGCACCGACAGGGACTTGACAAGTCCAAAAGGGGTTCGGTCCAGTTGACCTTGCATTTTAAGTAAATGCATAAACAAATAACTACCCATATGTGGAGACGTTTGTATTTATGTGTATGTATTCAAAATTAATTCCTCCATGTTTCAAGTATCATCTACATTGGACATAATCATCTATAAATATCAGGGAAGAAGATGAAACGACATCAACAATATACACAAATAAGCTCCTTAATCGGTAATGGGGAAATGCAATTTTTAGAAATATAGTACAGATCTAAACCCTAATCTAAATTTTTAAGAGTACAGACCTAAGTGAATCAAAAGATTAAGAACCATGTAGATTAGGTATATAAAATGTATGTATTTGTGTATGTTGTTCATGAATGTCATATAGTTTTGTGGTTAATGACAGTTTTATCTTATCTAGTTTCCTTGCAATCACACTTGTTAAGGATCAAATTGTCAGAGAATCAATACCTCAATAGCATACAATACAAAAAAATTCATACCAGCCACCTTTTCAAGAGCGAAATCAAATTGAAAACAAGCTATCTAAATATGAACTAAAGGCAGGAGCTTAAACAACTAAAATTTATCGATTAATTGTATAAAAACAATGCAAAACTCTCCAAAACTCAAATTAGAGCTCCAAGGTAAAAGTGAAGTGATTCCTAACACATGCAGGTCAAATTGACGGTGAAATTCTTCTGATTGAGGGATTGAAGTCAGATGGACTAGAGGGATGAATCAAATGAACTATATATGAGTTTTATGATAGTAAATTTGGCAAATCATCTAAATAAATAATATCCAAGCAGTCTTAACATGCATAAAAGAATTACTGTAACGATTATATAAGTTGATTATCAAGCAACCCTGGTTTTAAGGATTATTATTCATGATGCTGAATGAGAAAAAAGACGGACAATTGCTTGTTACCCGCCAAAAATAAGTAAATAAATAAATAAATAATTGATCTCAAATCATATTTATGACCATAAATAGATTACAAGAACAACCCACAAATATTATTTACTTATAAGTCTCACATACATGATCTTACATTTTAATATAACCCTAAATTTGTTTCACATCATAAAAATATATATTAGAAAATAAAAACTAAACAAATTAGATTAGACCAAAGGGCAGACAAGAAATTACTTCTGTGCTGAATTTCTTGACATAGTTGGCACAATCCAAATTGAGGGCGGCATATGCTTATGTGAAGGATCAAGAATGTAATGCGTCCCAAAGCTTCCATTTTCTATGTTGAAGATACCAACGTCGCGGCGACCATCTGGGAGATGGTGTAAGATGTCAATATAGTCATCGGTGTAGTATATGGAATTTGGCCGGCACCCGGGCCATTTGGAAGCTGAAACACAAATGGAATGGTTATCTCCAAGAAACAGGCTGTCTCCGCCCAAGCTCTTCACTTCAACCCGCTTAGCCAAACCCTTCTCAGTTTGCTGTAAAAGCATCTTGAAAACCTTAAACTTAAAAGTTGAATGCTGTGAATCGTCTCCATATTTTAGAAACCTTTCAACAAGGAGTAAATCTCCGCTAGATGATTCCACAAGATACATCCGTCTTTCAGAGCCCAGATAAGTCCGCGGTGCAATTACCTCCACTTGGGGAACCTTACTCTCCCCAGCCCTTCTATTAAGATCAACCATTATGATTCCACTCCAATAATCTACTGCAAGAATCTGGCCTCTATAATAAATGACATCATGGATGAGGGTAAATTTCTGATCTATGTAAGTCCAAGCTTTGTCTCCGGGCAGAATGAAAGCCAGTCTTCTCTGATCATCATAGATCGCGCTTACAATATAGTTATTAGGAGACGAAGCAGGGTCAGCAGACAATGTAGCCTTCATAACTTCGAACTCAACCTCGACAGGGGTATACACGTATTCGAAATCATCTTCACTATCATATTCAATTTCTTGTGGTTCAAATATTGAGCGGTCCATAATTGGAGGAAGCTCAACCATAGCGCCAGAGAACGGATTGATTAGGGTCAAGGCAAAGGATTCTTCAACAGTAAACAACCAACCATGTGAGGAACCAGAAAGCCTCTTTTTATAAGGTACCCTTAACTGAAAATCATATAATTTATTGTGAGTAATGCTGTATAGACTGCGTCTTTCCTCGCTATTATCTTCTGTAGGGACCATTAAAAATGGAACTTGTGTGCAACACTTCTTCTCCATTACCACAGACTGCCATTCTCTACAGACCGCACCAAAATGAACATAATTGGAAAGTGAAACCAATTTGTCCAGAATCGTATCCAATAAGTGCTTCGGAAGCCATGCCCAATCTGACCCCGACAATGAGTCCATATCCATAACCAATAGCACTGCAAAGAATCTAAACCCTCAGAATAACTCGACTAATGTCTACAATAATCAATTATTTGGCAAAAATTCTAATATCAAGTTTGGAGCACCGAAGCCATACTTTAGATTTGAAATTGAAAGAAATTTAGTTTAAACTTTGAACTAAATTTCTCCCAATACCAAATCTTCTTGCTCTATACATAGCATAAAAATAAAATAAAAAAATAAAAAAACTGGATATAGTTTGAATCAGTAATAGATAAATAAAAAAGAGATATATGATAAATGAATTTATTCCATGATTGAATAATCGTAAATTCAGCTAATATACACTTATATATTTTGAATTATATGAATAAACACAACAGCTTACCTGAAGCCTGCAATAATTTGGCGATGCAAACCAATAGAACAATTATGAAAGAGAAGACACTGTATTGACCTATATATAAACACATATATATATTGTGATAGGAGTAATTCTTTTCCTAATCTGAAAGTTCGGTAGAATCCTAATAGAACAAGGAAGAGTCGGGATCCGGAGGAGGGGATAACAGTGTCACACGACCTCATCCTATGCCTCCAACGTTGACGTTTATAACATTAAAAATTATATATATAAATTTAATATTAAATAAAATCTAATTAAAAATTACATTTCAAACATAATATAATTATACAAAACATTAAATTAAACATTTTTTATTTTGAAGTGTTGCTTCTTCGATTTAAAAGTGTTTTTTATTCAATTTAAAATAATTGCAAACCTCAATTAAAAATTTATATATAACATTAAAAATTATTTATATAAATTTAATATTAAATAAAATCTAGTTATATATTACATTAAAAATTACATGTCAAACAAAATATAATTATACAAAACATTAAATTTAATTTTTTTTTTTTTTTTTTTTTTTTTTTTTATGAAAGGTAGAGGTAAATTTATTAAGGGCAAATTACACAATGGACCCTCGGGTTTTTAACTTATACATGTAGATAGAAGATGGCCACAATATAACAGAAAGGTCCAAATTAACTGTTTGTTGTTAGTGGATTGATATGAATTTATATTTTTATCCTTAGAGTTAAACTATTTGTTTAATAAGAAAATCTAAAAAAAAATTTGTATTGTTAAAGTTACAGTTTTGCCCTTAAGACTCCATCACCAAATTGCAAAAACCACAAAATTATCTGCAACAGAATCAATCACAGACCCAAATACAATATCTTTTATTTTTTATTATAAATAAATACTTTAATTTTAAGGTTAAAAGTGTAAATTTGTATTGATTTTTTTTGGTCAAACGGTTAATATGGACTTTTGTGTAATATTGCTATAACTTCTATCTACATGCACAATATCAAAACCTCGTGGGTGGTTTGTGTAATTTGCCCATTTATTAAAATAGAAAATTTACAATAGCCTGAGGGAGGCTATAAGGAAATTACAAACCCAACCCAAAAGAGCAGCCCAGCTGAGGGAGCAACAAGCACAAAGGAGAAAAACAACCCCCCAGTGGAAGAACAAATCAAAAACAGTGATAGCATGACTGAATGAATCAACAATCCGGTGATCAACAGTAATTGCAGCGAGATGGCTTTCCCAGTCTTCTTCAGCTAATTCGGTGGTTTAGCAGGTGGTTGGAGAATGGAAGATGGAATTTCCTATGGAGGATTCTTTTGTTGATCAAAGATTCAAGTGGCGGATTAGCCATGATTTTGAGTTTGATTGGGTCAATGATTTTGTGGAGGAGTGAGTTAGATGAAGCCTTCTTCTTCTTGAAAATTCGTCGGATCCTTTTAACCCAGATATTATAGACAAGTGAGGAGAGTGCAAGTCGAGAAATGGAGCCTCTGAAGTCAGTCAAATTATTCCTCCAGTGATGAGACACCCAAACAACTAGTGCATTCTAATTGTTTGGTAGAATGTGAAAACCACATCTCGATTAAATGAAGGTCCATAAAGGTGAGTGGAATGAGCATTGGAAGAAAAGGTGATTATGGGATTCTGGTGAAGATGAGCAGAGTGGACAAAGGTTAAAAGAGTTAAGGAAGGATGTGCAGTCTCTGTCAAGGGTTGATAGTCTAGACTGGATAGCCAGCCAAAGGATGAAAGAGTGTTTAGGGATCATAGGCTTGGACTAGACCAATTTCGACCAAGGGACAGAAGGTATATGTTTTGACATGAATTTGAAAGTGTGGCCTATAGAAAATTCTCCTAAAGGTGATGGGATCTAGTATATTTTATCAGCATTGTTGGGTCTTAGGAGTGGGAGAGTGTTTAGAAGAAGGAGTTGGGGAATAAGGTCAGTGATTGTTGTGGGAAAGGACCATGATTGTCCAACAATGAAGGAGTGCAATACTGCCTTAGAATTAAAAGTGGATTGGGCTAGTTGTAGGCTTGAGACCTTGAGGCAGAGAAGACCAAGGGAAGACCAATTGTCATACCAAAAATTGGTAGACATTCCATTGCCAATTTCCAATCTGACAAGAGGTCTGAAGGATGGTCTAAGCTCGAGTAATTTCTTCCAAGTCCATGAGCATTGGCTTGGGATGCTTACCTCATAAATGCTCCTACCTTTTTGTAGATAGGTATTGACCGAAGTGACCCAAAACATACCTTCCCTATGCTTGATAATGTTCCATAAGTGTTTAATAATTACAATCCTGTTCCATTGTCGAAGGGGAGGGATCCCAAGACCACATACTCTAAGTGGTAAGGAAATAGAAGGCCACAAAATTTTTGCTCCACTCTTCTTGAGCTCTGGACCTATCCAAAGCAAAGCTCTGAAGATGCTGGTCAATTCATTAATAACAAACACTGGTAGTATAAATTGTGTACTCTAGTAAATTTGAGTGGAATGTAGGATGGATTTGAATAGTTGAAGCCTCCCTGCAAAGGAAATAAGCTTGCTTGTCCAATGGCTAATTTTGGTTGTGATCTTGTCTATAAAGGCCTTGTAGTTAGTTACGTTGCGCACGGTTGATATGAGGGGAACCCCCATGTATTTAATTGGTAAAAGAGCCTTTCTCAAAGCCAACCATGGTGAGGATTTCAGCTTCAACTTTAGGTTTAACTCCAGAGAGGAAGATATTGCTTTTGTTTTGGTTGATTTGGAGTCCAGACCAGTTAGCAAATATATCGGTGGCATTGAGGAGGAGCTAGACAGGAGGAGCACTTCCATAACAAAATAACATGACATCATCTACAAACACTAAGTGTCCAGTGATATTTGAAAGACCTAGAGGCTGTGTGTGATACCCCCGGATTTCCGGATACGTGTCGCCCGAATACCCGAGGATATCAAAAACAAATCAGTAATAATCAAACACAGAATACAAATATGATAAATAAAAATAAATAATTTGCTGAAAGAAAACAAAAATAATAATCCAATAACTCCTCAAAATAAATTCTTATTAATAATAAAATCATTCTAATGCAATTAATCCTCCATTAATACAACTCGGGAATCTATAATGTGTGCACCCTAGAAAAATCCAAAATTGAATAAGTAACAGTAATGACTGTCTACATGAAACATAAATGAATCTCCTACATAAACTCAGAAGAGTGAAGTAGACTGATCCCTGCTCAGTATGAACAATTCTTTACACCTGAAGAATACCTGAAAAATAATGGTGGGACAAGCTCATAAACAAGTTTTACTCTACTACAATCTAAACAGAGATCTGATATACGTATACATCCTAGTTAATCCAACAATAACTAATAGTCTGTATATATATATAGATACATATTATAGGACGCTCACTGGACTATAGGTCTATCTCAACCTGAATAGAAGGCAACATACAAATCGTGCATAAAGTGGGCATGAATACCTAAACCTACCAAGACACCCAGATGTCTATTATATCCAGTTATCCATCCCAGGTAATATACGCACCCTAACCATGATCCTGAGACTCAAGCTCATATCATGGCTCATAACTATATATATAATCCACCCTAATCTAGAACATAAAATAAACATCCGGTATGTCATCCAACTGATTCAGTTGACCTGATATGAATATATGTAGGATTTAACATTTTAGTTAATCCATTTCGTTATATATGAATTGGTAGGACTTAACGTTTTTAGTTAATCCGTCCGGACTTAACGTTTTTAGTTAATCCGTCCCTAATATGTCACCATCTCATACTGGTGCATATAATGCATATGATCCATAAATGATGCAACAATTAAAATATCAACATCAAATACATCCAGAAATAAGCGTAATAGAAATTAAATATATACATGATTATATTATGCAACCAATATATGATTAAAATCATATAACCTCCATTTAAATTACTAGAATAGTTTTAAGCAATTAAATCATCAACACAATCCAATAATTGATGAAATAAGCAAAATAAAACATCAATTAAATCCAGAACCAATCATAATAAAATCAAATAATAAACTGAATATATTATACTACTAATGCACAATAAAAATCATACAACATCTATTTAACTTACTAATTTAACATTAAATAATTAAATCATCTGTTTACAATATGCAAATTATTTAAATTTCATATTGTTCAAGTCCATGACATATTATTATAAATTATGCATCCTGAGTATTTAACATGTCATCATAGTCATTTACAACTCTTAAATTGACCTACACAGTCCTAAAATACCCTAAAACCAAATATAGTAGCCAAAACCCACGCACAGGTTAAGTCCCAGGTGTAAAGCCGTCTCAACTCCAAGTAGAGCTGCCTCCATTCGAATGGAGCCACCTCCACTTCGAATGGAGCCTCCTCCATTATCGTGGAACCGCCTCCACTTCAAATGGAGTCGCCTCCATTCCTGCTACTCTCCGTCTTCTTTATCTCCGGCGTCCTTTAATCATTCTGATCATCTTCCTTAAGGTTCCTAACCTTCTGTTCCAAGCCCCAGATGATCCCAATAAATTTATAAAGTCCATACACATCTTAAACATGAATTAAAACAAGGTTTCATACAAAAATTTTCAAGATCAAGCAACAAGATCAAGCAAGAACACCTTAAACATATAAACTCAGTTTTAATTCTAATTAAGCATGCATAAAAGATCAATTTATTATCTGATTACTCCTGGAATTAACCTAGGCATGCATAAAATACGAATCTAAGGGAGAGAGTAAGAGAAGAACTTGTCTTTAAGGTTTCGGTTTGAAACCTTCAATCATCTTCTTCCTTGATTCTGTCGACCTTCGGGCTGCAGTTGAATCTTAAATAACTAATTCATTTAATCCCAAAAAATAAAATATAAACAAATACATATCATTAAATCAAGCACGTCAATTACTAAATTAATTACACTCCATTTAAGCACATTTAAATCACACAAAGACACCAATAATACACACAATTTAAATTAAACAACGAAGTCAATTAAACATATAACAAATAGCCAAATAATCAATTAATCAAATAACAATAAAATTAAAATAATTAAATAAATACCAAGACTATCCTTTTAAAATTAGGGGTATTCCACTGTGATCATGTGCAGAATTAAGGAGAACACTTGCATAGCAAGGACAAAAAGAAATGGGTAAAGGGG